GAGTCTGAGGTCACGTTGCGGCGTGTACGACAAGCACACCGTAGCAGGGGAGGAAGAGAAAGGAGGGGGGGAGGGGGCGGGGGGGGGGGCAGGGGGCCAGGGTGGTGAGGGTGACTGGCTGGGACTGGGCTGGGGTGGCTGTGGCTTCCCCGCGCCAGGCAAAGAACCCCAGAACGGCAAGGTTCAGGGGCTGCTTGCCACCCCACAAGGCAGGGTGCAGGGTGGCCAAAAGGGCAGAGATGGGGGGAGATAAGTGGGTGGGGGGAGCTGGAGAGGAGGCAGTCCCTTCCCTGACTGAGGCTCAAGGCTGGGAGGGACCAAGCCCAGAATGGCTTGGATTGGGGTGGGTCCTTGGCTAACAACCAGTGGAACTCGTTTAACGACGGCAATGGGGACTGCCGGGATTGCAGTCGCTAAGTGATGAGGTCACGTGACATTGCACTTTATGACTGCATCGCTTAGCGACGGAAAATCCAGTCCCAGTTGGAGTCATAAGTCGAGGACTACCTGTAAGAAAGAAAAAGAAAGGAAATATATAAAGAAATGACTTCCCTCTTCATCACAACTAGCATATACAATTCTGGAAACTGATTGCCTCCTCTTAAAATACAACAAATGGTCTCTTCTTCCCGTATCCCAACTCTTATCTATCAACAAATCCTGAAAGCCTCATCCGTTTCAATCCTTGTCAGCAAAAGTCCATTCAGGGTTACCAGAGATAACAACATATCTACTTTAACCTTGTTCAAATAAACCAATTTCATCTTCCTTTTACTTTCATAATTGTGTAACTGATGCTTCAAAGCAGTGTTTCTCAAACTTGTCAACTTTAAGATGGGTGGACTTCAACTCCCAGAATTCTATGCTGGCTGGGGAATTCTGGGAGTTGAAGTCCACCCGTCTTAAAGTTGCCAAGTTTGAGAAACACTGCTTTAAAGGGTGCAATTTGTTGTAAAATCTTGTTTAACAGACAAGCAGATGAAAGCAGCAAATATGCACCCATGTATTTGAAATCCGCTAAACCAAGGTCTGTTACAACACCTCTAATTAACATTTGGAGGGAACAGTTAAAATCATCTAGGGAGAAAGAGATAAATCTGGAGGAGTCTGGTAGCAACTTTCCCAACTCACAAATTTTATTCAGTGGCAGCTTTCACGAGGGGGGCTCGACTGATGAAGGCCTTAAATTGGATGTAAATTAAAACCCCTTCATCATCCGACGGAGCCCAGCTCTCCTCCTACATGTCTACGGACCCATAGAGAATTTTTTTTTTTTAAATTCTCAGCCTAACCTACAATTCTGGGTTTATTTTATATTTATTTATTTATACATTCGATTTATTCTCCGCCCATCTCCCCCCGATGGGGAACTCTGCGCGGTTCACAAAGTATATATAACCCTCACAGGGACATATCTTACAATTACAAATCCTACAGTGCTATATATATTACACTACGTGACCAGCAGTGGTCGCTACTGCTCTCCCTTCCAAGTCTTAACCAGGTTTGATCCTGCTTGGTTCCGCCAAGGCTGGTTAGGCAGTGCTTTAAAGTTTCTTTAACAAAGGGGTGCAACCATGATAACAACGCGAATGGCAGGAGTCAGAGAAGGAGTGGAATCAAGGCCTAAAAACAGCCCAACGGGTTTAAACCTGAGTTCTGGCTGCTTTGGAAACCATGGTTAGAATCCCACGTAAGAGTTTCCTAAGGATGGTCTGGAACAACCATGGGAGAGAGGCACAGAAATCACACTAGCAAACTTGACACTCTTGTGTGGTTGAAAACACAATCACACCTCGGCTGGATTCACCCAGGTTTGAAAATGCAGCAGGCTAATTTCCAGCTGTTCAGCAAACACTGGGTTAGCATAACCCTGGTGAGCCTAGTTCCCTTGGCGCCCTGTGTTGCTGTAATCCTGGTTCTTGTTGTCATTTTGGGAAGTGGCCCTGTGTTGCTGTGACCCTGGTTCAGCTGACTTATTTGCCCAGCCCTGCTTTGGTGAACCCTGGTTCTGCCTGCAGCCCGAGCACAACTTTTAAGGGAGCCTGGCACGCCCGAAGTGGATGCACCAACGGAGGGTCAGGGGGACGCACCGACTCTGAGGTCTCTCTCCCACCACCACATTCCTGCTGCAAAAGGGGTGGCTGCCCCAAATCATCACCAGGGCCGGCCCTGCCGTGGGGCAGCGGGAGGGAGGGAGCCAAATCTGACTGCAGAGGTTGGGGGGCAGGGAAAGGCAGCGAGGGGAGAAGAAAAGCCAGCGCTTCAGCTCACGGCGCCAAAGGCCAGGCCTGCTGCTCGCCCAGTGTCGATTAACTAATTAACTCCTTAATTAAGTCAGATGCCTGCCTGACTCCCCGGTGCCTCGGGGGGGACTTGCCTAATTAGAAGCAAGGCAAGCGGGGTTTGGATGGTGTGGGGAGCACCACA